TAGGATCGCTATCCCTATTCCAAACGCGTTATCCTTATGCCACATTCACAAGTGGTGCTAGAGCTGATCAAGCTAGCGCGGTAGCACGGCGTTCCACATAGGACGAGAGACAAAGTTGAGCAACAAAGAAAAATTTGAGAACTAAAATGTACTTTGATAGTTCATGATTGAAATTGAGTAAAATATAAAGTTTGAGAATTGAAATGGTCACTTTGATAGTCCCAATAAGATGAAACTGAGCTAAAACATGATGTTTATGAATTGAAACACCATTCTGAAAATTCATGGACAAAAATAGGCATAGGACCGAAATTAAGGGACCAAAATGACTATTCTCCCTTTATTTATCTCATGAATATGGTATTTTCTAGACCTTATTTAACGTGGAGCCTCGTCTGATAAAACGCTAAAATAATACTTCCTTCGCTAACCAAAGAGTGTCATTCTGAATTTATTCTAATTTCAAACAATTTTAAATTTAACTAAAACTATATGCAAATGATATTAAATAAATATTATTAAATTTATCATGAAATATATTTTCAAAATATTTCTATCTAGTGTCATAGCTATGATAATTTCGATAATTTGGCTTAATTTAACTTAGAACAAAACTAAAACATTACCCTTTGTGGGATAAAGATAGCAGACATTCACATTCCTACTTAGGGTCTGTTTGGATCCATTAACACTAAAAATGAGTACTAGTGAATCCAAATAGACATACTAATTACTAGCTAGGAGGCTACTAACTATGAGTTCTATTAGCTACTAGTTTGAAGTTGCTAATGAGTGCTACTAGTTCATATGCATCTTCAACTCACTGTCTAATCACATGTAAGCAGGTGGATTTAACGGCTTCCTATTAAAATTTAGTAAGCTAAAAATAGTCGCTATTAGCTACTAGCTAATTTTTAATGCTAACATATCAAATATACCTTTTATACCCCCAAAAAAATATACCCTTACACAAGATATCCTAGTGAAAATTTAAACTAGCTAACCTGTCCTGAATGCAAACATGACAACTCGTCCCTTTTTTTTTTGATGAATCTAGTGCCCGGACGTCCGGACGCCACTCAAACCGCGTAACCCGCGTCCGCTTCCCGACCCCGACCCGTGCGCCCAGCCTAGTCAAGCCGCCCCATAGCTCCGCCCCATCGCCGCCGATGATGAGCGCGCCCAGCATGCCCACAGCATTGAAGACCAGCAGCTGACAGCGCATCCAGCATCCCAAAGACACCCATAGTCCGTGACCCCGGCCACCTCCGTCAAAGCTCTCCGGCCCTCGGCAGGCCTCGCGAGCCCCGTCCATCATCCGCTCGGCCCCTCCCAGACCAAACAACATAAACAACTCAAATAAAATACTTGCAACAACACAGAACAACTGCCACAACATTAGGTTGAAGGGGCTGAAACATTTGAAACATATTACTGCAACATTGCTATGAAGCATATGAAACAACGATTGATTAAAAGCACTTGAAAAATAACATGGAACAACTGATGCAACATAAGACTGAAGCAACTAAAGCATTTGGAACGTATTATTGCAACATTTTGTGTGAATCATATAAACCATCCGCATCAGAAACGATTGCAACATCGTCTAGAAATAGGTGAAACATTTTGAACAAAGTGCTTGCAACAATCATTTGAAACACTTGCAACATATCGACAAAGTGCAACATCCCCGATCTACTTTGGCAACAACCATATGATTCAACTACAACGTACCTCTGAAGCCTCTGAAACAATTGAAATATACAATTGCAACATGAGGGAGAGAGAAGAGAGCCTGGTGCGGGGAGTGCCATGGCCGTCGGATCTGCAGGCGTCAGGAGCTCCTTGTGGAGGAGGACGCCGGTGTGGGGGGAGGGGCGCTGCCGGGGTGGGGGAGGAGGACGCCGGGGTCGGGGAAAGGAGCGGCTCTGGCGGGGGCGGCACCGGCGAGCAGCTCGGGAGGGGGCGCCGGCGAGCGGCCCAAGCGGGGGCTGCGGTGGCGAGCGGCTTGTTGCTACCGCGAGCGGGGGCGCACTACTTGGCGCGGGGGGGCGGCGCTGGCGAGCGGCTCTGGAGGGAGCGGCGACGAGCGTCTCGTGCGGGGGTGGCGGGGCGTACAACATGGAGCGGCCTGAGCGATGTAGTAGATGAGGATAAGCTGAGGTCTAAACTCTGGATGGGGAATCACGCTGAGTGAGTGGAGGAGCGTGAGCCACGTCACGTACGGAGGTTAAGTCATGGGTCGGACGCCCGACATATAACATTGTCGTTTTTTTTTATGAGAGGGACAACTCGTCTCCTTGGCGATGGTGAGGTCAATCTCAACTCGTCTCAGCCGAGTCCGAGCTCCAGCTCACCAAACCGGAGGGCATTCCGCGGTGGCCCCCGCAGTGACGCGGCCCGGCCGCCGAGACCCACCGATCCGGTCCCCGAGCCCGCGTCCCGGCCCCCGGCCGATCTGCTCGCCCGCCCGCTCGCTCGCCGAGTCAACGGCTTGACTGCGCCCGCGGCCGCCACGCTCGTAGTAGTAGTATATACGAGTACATGCCTTCCCTGTCCTCTCCTCCTCTCTCCCATCCGTCCAGCATTGCAGAAGCCGGAGAAACTTCCAAGCCCAAGAAAAAAAAGCTGCCACCTTTAACTCGACCCCTCCCTCTCCGCCTGAGTCCGTGCGGTGGCACCGAAGCCGAGAGCCTCCGGCGAACCGGGGCTACCTGCCGCGGCGCGCTATTTCGGCGGTTTTGTGCCACGGCGGGACTGGAACCGCCCGGGCTGCCCTGTCAGGATCACCAAGCTTGAGCAAGTTCAGTTGTCCGTTGGCGGTTGGAATTCGCCTCTCGCCGCGCTTCAGGTGAGTCTCGCCGTCTCGTTGGGTTCCTCTCGCGTCTCGCCTTTTGTTTCCTTGTTGCGTTATCTTGTCTTTTTTCGAGCGGTTGCGTGAATCCTTGTTTGGGCACGGGGTTAGTGGGCGATTCAAATGCTGGTTTTGTGTCTCTGATCGAACAACGCCGCCTAACCCAGGATCAATCACTAGATTACCTGATATATTCTGGACAGAAAGCCTAGCAAAGAGATTTTATTTCTGATCGCAACTCTGGTTGTCAGTAACACATAATTGTCAGCTTCTGATAAATCGTCACGCCATGGCGGGATTCTATGCACAGTACAAATGTGCAGATTGGAGCCAATCATGCATTAGTTGCTCGCAGTAATCAATTGGATTGGATGCCAGCGCATATCTAGTACTAGTAGTAGTTCTATTCGTCATTATTCTGTACCATGGGCCGTAATCCGTTGCTGTGCTGCTGCACGGAATATTATTTATTATTACTCACAACAATCAGTTAGATAAGCACTGACGTACAGGTTGCACACATACGTCTTTTATCTACTGATGAAGCATTTTTTTTTGGTGGGTTGTCTTCTTCGCTGTTTATTAAAAGAATGAACCGTGTATGGAGTATTTTTTTTCTCCTTTTTTCTCCAAAGTATGTTTGGTGTGTTAGGAAAGGAGTCTGATGTTGATGCCTATCTAACTATTATAGGGGATATTTTGAATTAGACAAAGGCTGTAGTGGGCCTAGCCTACCGTGTTTGATCGTATTATTGTTGCCACCTGAATTGATACTAAAAGCGAAATACCAACGTCTCGATCCATGGTCATCAATTAGGTTGAATGATGTAGCCTGTGCTGCGGTGCGCCGGTGCTAGTTTGTTTTGTGAATGAACATAGGATACGGGTGATGAAACCACTGCTTTGTGCATCAGTGGTTTTCCTGCTCCTGTTCTGTTCATACTTGAAGTGCATTTAAATTATGTGGTCAACTCCTCGTAAAAAAAAGGGTTCTTTGAATTATTGCCACCCGAATCGGTGCTATCTAATGATAGGATACGGGTGATGAAACCACTGCTTTGAATTGGTACTACAAGTGAAATACCAACGTCTCCAATCAATGGTCATCAATAAGGTTCAGTGATCTAGCCTTTGCTGATGTGCGAGTTCCTTTTGTGAATCGACAGTAGGATATGGGTGATGAACCGCTGCTTTGCGTATCAGTGGTTTTCCTGCTCCTGTTCATACTTCAAGTTTACTTTGAATAATGTCCACTCCTTGGCCAAAAAAACCCCTATGCCCCGTTCAACTGCCCTTAAAATCAGCCGGCACTCACTGTTCATGGCTGAAAACACTGTTCACTCTCTCCCAAATTCCTCCAGATTTCTCCAAATTCCTTCCACAGGGCCTATTCGCTTAGCTGATAAGCCATGGCTGAAAGTACTGTTGGCTGATTTATTGTGAGAGAAAAATACTGTTCGTTGGCTGAAAAAGTACGGCTTATAAGCCAAGCGAACGGGGCGAGCATAGAAAAATAGTGTGCGTGGAAATAATTTATGTAACCTTATGGAACTCAAGAGAATTTCTTTTTGCAACAGCATCTCTTTGGCTCTTTGGTTAGATTTATTCTGGGAACTCTATTTTGAGATTTTTAACATGCTTGGACACTCCTGTTGTTCTATAGATTACTATTCTGCCCCCTTCCCCCCTCAACTGGAATGCCAAAACAAACAAAGAAAATATCTTTTGTTTTCTAACTGGAATGCACATATCACATCAGTACTGTTTTAGCGGGTTCTGATAAGTTTTCGTTATTACAGACATACAGTACTGTATACATAGATATCCTTTCCTGCTACTGCAATTGTGGGAAAGTAATTTTTGCCCATATACATTTTCAAGTTTTTTTTAGAAAAGGATATACACTTTCTAGTGATTAGTAGCATTCAGTTTCTGGCTTTTTCCTTAGGTTTCCATTTTTGCTAAGCGCAGATTTTGCTCATTTTTTATTGTTGCAAGTTGCCTAGTGTATTGTGTATACTGCTACTTCTTGCATAAGCAGAGCCTCTGTTCATGCCCTCATGTTTCAGGATACTGAACTGCCATCTCAGTTAAATGATACACTGCACGACGGTGGGCACCGGTAGTTTGAAACACATCAGGAATGAGTTGTTTTGCTCACTTTTTCAAGAGGAAAAGGGGGCCACAACAACAAGACAATCCATCTAACGATTGTAAGATCTCTTATTCCTACAGTTATGTAAAAAGATCACCATTTCAAAATTAGTATACTTGTTCTCTACTTTTAATGAATCTGCCTTCCTTCATGACACTTACTTATTTCTGCAGATTTCACTGGTTCTGAGATTATAACAAGATACAGCTACAGGGAACTGGTTAGAGCCACATCAAATTTTGACCAAAGCAATAAGATTGGTGAGGGGGGTTATGGACCTGTCTACAAGGTAGTAGCTTAACTACTTCCAATTTGATAAAGGACCAGAATCCATTACTGGTGTTTAAAACCTTTCTAACTTGCCACTTCAGGGAACACTCAAGGATGGAACAGCTATTGCCGTAAAGGTTCTGTCTTTACATTCTAGACAAGGTGCAAAGGAGTTTCTTAATGAGCTTCTTGCAATCTCTGATGTAGCACATGAGAACCTTGTCAAACTCTATGGGTGCTGTGTAGAAGGGAACCACAGGATCCTTGTCTACAATTATCTTGAAAATAATAGTCTTGCACATATCCTTCTAGGTAGTTCTCTTTACTGAATTCTGAATATTGTTTTCTAGAGTAATATCCTTTTAGCAAGGTAAAATGTTTACATCCTGTAACGTTCCCGTGCTTGCCGTGCTATAGGTTCGGGACATAGCAGCATCCAGTTCAACTGGAGAACTCGGGTAAATATCTGCATTGGTGTTGCCCAAGGATTAGCTTTCCTCCATGACAGTGTCCGCCCCCACATTGTTCACCGCGACATCAAGGCAAGCAATATACTTCTCGATAAGGATCTCACACCAAAAATATCTGATTTTGGTCTGGCAAAGCTTCTACCTCCGGATGTATCACATGTTAGCACAAGAGTCGCAGGGACCCTGTAAGTGAAAGTTACTATTGTTGTTTCCTCTACTGTGATGGATGTTTCTTTTACTACTTTGTGTTCTCCATCCACATACTCCAATTGTAGGTCTGATGATCCTTTAAACTTAGGGTTTTTTTTGTGACTTTCCTTTAAACTTAGTTGTGAGAGGCATTGGCAGCTACAATTGTCCAGTGACAGTTACTTAAAGAGGTTCTGTTGATCTAAATATCTAATCAGGGAGTGCAGTGGAAAGAATGAAACCAAACTAGTATTTGGTCACTCAGACATGGTTTGTGTGGTACCTAACACTGTAGTTTTGCTCGCAGAGGTTACTTGGCTCCTGAATATGCAATTCGAGGACAAGTTACGCGGAAGGCAGATGTCTACAGCTTTGGCGTTCTGCTTATCGAAATTGTGAGTGGAAGATGCAACACTGATACGAAATTGCCCTACGATGACCAGATTCTCCTTGAGAAGGTATATACGGGATTCTACTGGTACAGACAAGACACAAAACACTTGCCATGAAAGTGGTTGCTTCAAACTGCATTTCTGAACAAATCACTTCTATATTTTTGCAGACATGGAGATATTACGACCGGGGGGATCTGGAGAAGATCATAGACAGCTCCCTCGGCGATGACCTCGACGTCAATGAAGCCTGCAGGTTTCTGAAGGTTGGGCTCCTCTGCACCCAAGACACGAAACGGCGGCCAGGGATGTCTACGGTGGTCGCCATGCTGAAAGGCGAGGCCGACCTGGGCACGGAGGTGATCAGTAAGCCCGACGTGATCAGGGATTTTGGAGACCTGAAGATGAGGAGCAGGGCCACGTCGTCGACATTGCTGACCTCCATCATGGCGCGGTCATCCCAGCTGTCGTCTGAGGAGACAACGCGCACCTCCATCACCTTCACCGAGATATCGGAGCGCGACTGATGAGTGCTGACGAGCAGAGGTTGCGATCGTGTAGCTAGAGGACCGGAAAGTGTATGTAGCATAGGCCGAACTGCCGAAGAGAATTCTTTTGGTGGTCTTATATGATCTGTGTGCGTATATAGATGTACATTCCCTCGTTGGGTTAGAATTATAGAGCATGAACCAACTGGTGAGTCAGTCTGAGTTCCAGAACTGGAAAGCAACCTGTGAAGTTATTGAAAAAAAGAAGAGGAAAATCTTCTTGTTTTGGTTGTTGATAACAATGTATCTTCTAAAAACACTGTCAGTATCTGTATAGTCTCTTCTCTTTCTTTTTTTTTCTTTTTTTTTGCAGCTTCTGTACATATACATATAAACTGCAGATGCAGTCAGTCATGCGCAGCTAGCACATCCTGGAGGAACTCTACTTGACTACTTGTAACTTGTTCATGCGCAACGAGGCTTAAGAGCGTTCTGAACACGTTCTGTAGTGCTAGTGCTGTGTACTTGCCCGGAGGTTCTGTGTGTCTTGTGATCAGAGTTTGGCCCTGCTCCCTCGCAACGGCACAAGCGTGCAGGTGCAGGCCCCGGTGGATGATGGAGAGGTGCAGTGAAGTTAGGTCAGCGAGGCCGGCTGGCCGGCTGCTGGTGTCTCGCCGGCGGCCGACACGCGCTCCAGGCGCAGGCCTTGGATCGGGGCAGGCAGGGGCGTAGCATCATCATGCAGGGCCGGCGCTGCGAGCTGCGTGGCTGGGCTGGCCACGGCCACAGGGCACGCTGGCGGCAGGCGGCAGGCGGCAGCCACCAGCCGGCAGCGCAGTGTCCTCACCTGCCTCAGCACTCGCCATCACCGCCACTATGCCCGGCCGGCGCCCGCCCGGCCTGCACGCTGTACGTGGAGCCGGAGATGCCTTCTTCTTGGAAGAGCGATTGGTGTGCCGCCATGATCGGTCCATGTAGCTCACAGGCACAGGCACAGGCACAGGCGCACAACGCAGGCGGGCGGGGGCCCCATGCGTGCATTGCATCGGCTGGCCTGGCTGGTTGGTGTGCTAGCTGGGCCTGTCTGCCGCATGAAAGCATGAGTGAGTGTGACCTTGCCCTGCCCTGGGGCTCAACCACAGAAAAGTGAGCGCTGGCATAATACGGAAAGTACTATGCCTCCGTTTCCAAAAGCATGCAAACTCTAGGCTTGGATAGGGCTAAGTTTATAAAAGAAATTATTACTTTTTGTAACTCCAAATAAATGGCCCTATTCGTTTCGCTCAAATTTAGCTTATACTGATTCGTTGTGAGAGAAAAAACACTGTTTGTCTGAAAAGTACTGTTGAAGTAGTGTAGCAGAATAGGACCAATATATATTATATGTAATATATTCCATGTTTAAACTAATGATCATTCTAAATGTATTAATATTTTTTATATATCTAATCAAATTAAAAAATGTTTGATTTCTCGATAAGTAAGAATTATATTTTTTAATGAAGAGAGTATCTTTACTCGATGTGTTTGTTTTATATTTCCAAAAATAATGTAAATCTTGTTTACGAGGAGTACAAATTTTTTAAGTTTGACTAAGTTTGTAGAAGATATATTGCCTATATTTAGATCTCCATTTAGATTTATTACGAAAATATATCATATGATTAATCTAATGATATTTATTATGTATCAGGAACATTAATATTTTTTAATATGTATTTGGTCAAAATTTTAAAAATCTTTGACTCCGCAAGATCTGAGATTTATGCACTCTATGTGACACTATGTCTACGTGACACGGAGGTATAGTACTAGTGTACTACTACTGCGGTACTGCCCTTTTTTTTTTGGTGCCCCTTACTACGTATGAGAGCCGAATAAAGCACCTAGGCATGCAATGATTCTAGTGGCTGTCCGGTAGCACTGGGCATACACTTGTTTCGTATCAGGAGGTCTCACTTTCTCCTTTGCATGAAACAGTACAATGTACAGTGCCTAGAAAGAAGAATGTATGTGCATGCATGCATGCATGATGCGCCGCATTGGTCCTGGTTGGTTTCTAGGCTGATAAACTCGGCTGGTGCTGGTTTGTCGTGAGAGGAAAATATTGTTGGCTGACGGATAAGCCCGGGCTGATAAGTAGTGTTGACTAGTTCTTGACATGTGATTTTAATACTATATATCTTTATTATATAAATATATAGAGATAGATAAAGTCCTGTTCTTTGTCCTTGGCGTTGTAGAAACGCTCACACAGATTGTTCCCTCAAGTGTTTTTTAATGGTAGCCACCTGCATGCAAGAATGATAGCTGAGATCAGGGTTTGATCTTCTGTTGGGTCGTCTATGAAAGGGGCAGCCATATATATGCATTTCTATAGGAACAAATGGCAGGAATCACGGGTGAGCTGATGATTACACCCATTTGCATTGTTGGTTGGTTGGCGATAATGATACTGTGTTGCGTGTATATATATATATATATATATATATATATATATATGTGTGTGTGTGTGTGTGTGTGTGTGTGTGTGTGTGTGTAGAGGTGTTTTGTGTTGCTGTTTGCTCATGTTGCGAGCGATGGGTTGTTGCTGGTTGAGTTGTCTCTGTCATTTACAGCTGTTGTTTTTTTTTATTGTAAAACCTTCTGGTGCTATTGTTTGTCCCTTTTGAGTTTTCATCTTTATCAATATAATCAGCAGGTCCTTGCCCATTTCATTTAAAAAACAATTAAGCAATATATAATTTTCAAATATATGCACTATTATTCTAGAGGTGTAGGGACTGTTTAGTTAGAAGACTGAGGAGTTGCCTGGACCAAACAACCACTCTCATGAGTTGGATTTCATCACCCTAGGGCCAGATGCTTGTCTGGCTATTTCTCTGCTTGGGAGGCAACAACCAAATAGCCCCATAATTTTTAATAATGTATTATGAATGCCAGAACGGTGGTCTCAGTCAGCTCATATGTACTTCATTCAAAGCAGACTCTAATTGTAGATTTGCAGTGCATAATGTATTAAGGTTTTAGAGGCCATGAACTTCTGGCTTCACCTACTAGTGCTCGTGGATTGTATTTGTAACAAGGGTACGTACCTGCAGCATCATGGTCATGTATTTGTGTAGTCTAAGTCTAGAGTGATCGATCACTAGAGACTCCAGCTAGAGTGCTCCGTGGTCCTATATACATCTAGAGGAGTCAGAGGAATGGACAAAGTCACACACACACTAGCTTAGAGCTAACAAGATATGGTCAACCAGGCCTATATATAGGTAGATTAGGCAAGCTAAATTTTGAATAGAAATGATATTCTAGAGTGGACATAGGTACAAAGTAATAATAGAAGGCCCACATGCAATCTATATCTAATATTAAAGTATGATAATTTGTTTGGTCCATCCTCCCTCACTCTTATCTTCTTTTGTCACTCTCAGTCCGTTATTATTTACTCTCATTCCTCTTCTTGGTCCCCTTGGTCCGTTGTCTCTCACTCCCACCTTATTCGCTTTCACTAATGGCACAGAGAGACTATATCCTCTTTCAACATGGTATCGGTTACTATATGGAGCCGTAAAATCTTCACTGGTGCCGCACAACTCATATCATGGCCTGGCCAACCAAGCCTGAGCCCGTGTCACGACATGGTATGGCTCAGCGCACACCTGAGCGTCTAGCTTGTGTTCCACCTTTAATTTTCAACCTCACAACAGGTGGTGTGGATGATAACCAACCATTTAAGCCAAGTCAATTCCCATAAAATTTCCCATGTAGGATCAATCCTTCATTGCACCTAGCATTAAGGTTGGACTAGGCCCACTTCAAATAATCCAACATAGACAGCTAACTCTAGGAGGCTGCACAACATAGATAGCTGCAACACCATGCCATTGCCTAGCCACCACACAACAGTCACCAAACACCATGGTGCTGGCTTATAGGCCACCTCCAACTTAGATGGTGCCGGAACCCTAGGTCACCACATCTAGGGCAGACGTAGTCCCCACCGTTCATGCCATCCCATGTTCATGCCATCCCATCATTGCCGTCATCAAGCCAACCAATGTGATGTAGCTGTCATGGCACTCGAGCGTTTCTCAGAGGTCGCATTGCCAACCAAGGCAACAAGCACAAATTTGGAGGAAGAGGGAAATTCTCCACTATGATGCCTCCAAGAAGGGCACAACAACTGCAGTCATCACCATCGCTAGCTGGACCATTGCAGCATTTTTTCAATGATGTTACCATTTTTTACATCGATAGAGTTGAGCAAAGCTTCCGTCCAAACCTTTCCAACAATCCAAAGGCAACCCCACAAACCAAAAGGGTTACCATAGCCACACCATATCGGTCATCGCCAGGCAGGACCAGACGCCATGACCACACAACCGGCAGTGAGCCACCTCCAACAGGACATCGCTACCAAAGCCATTTCTAGGCAAGACTTGCTGTCATCGCTGTCCACCATGAGTCGCCCAAGCATACCTAGAACCTAGCCACCACACTGCTTCCGCTGCCACACTGCAAGACGCTACGTTGCAACCATGGACTTCACCATGAAATACACAACAACTTCCAAACACGGCCACACCTCAGCGACCCATGATTGTCCTTGCCATATGCCACACACGTAAGCCTGGCCAACGCCCGAGCTGAACAATCGAGCCCAACAACTGTGGACCCGTGTTGTCACCCAGTGCCAGACCTGCACTAGGGGCACTAGGGCCATGCCCGCCCTAGCCCTTAATTACAATAGGAAAATTATCGTTTTTCCTATAGCCAAGCATAATTAGCACTGATGCGTAATGTAATGGCCCTAGTCTTTGATGAATCCTAGGTCCGCCCCTGTCGCCACCCGTGCACGACCAGAACCAACCTGGCATACCCAGCGTCCCAGCCTCGGCATGCCGGTGGCACATCCTCTGCCGCCACGACCAAATCCCCCGAGGGAACTCCCAGAGCTCATGAAACTCCGGTTGTTGGGTGCCCTTTGATCCGGCACCAAGTGGCGGCCTAATCCAGCAAAGGAAACATCGAATCTG